GAAAGAGAGAAGAGAAGAGAGAGAAGAGAGAAGAGAAGAGAGAGAGAGAGAAGAGAGAGAGAGAGAGAGAGAGAGAGAGAAGGAGAGAGATAAAGAGAAAGAGAGTCAAAGTCAGAGTCAAAACTGTTCATTCTTCACATAAATACATCTATATTTGCAATTGAGCATATAAGAGATATTTCCTTTATTTTTTTATTTATTTATTTATTTTTTTTTTTGAAATAACAGAAGCTGGGAATGTCTCTCATACTATCTGGTAGCATGTTCCAGGTCATGAGTCCATGTGCATGCATTCGTCCGCCCTGTGTCGGTTTGCGATCTCTTAACACAAAGAGGATTTACCTGACGTGTTTGGACACCTGATGTGTTCCCTACAGTTTGCAATGAGTTTGTAAGTGAAAATATATGTGGATTGTCACTGCATTTAGAATGGACTTTTAACCATTTTAATTTTTGGATATGTGGGATAATGTAATCAAGTCTATTATTATTTCCTAATGTAACTCTTTACAGCAAAATTTTGGTGATTTTTGTAATTTTTGCATCTGCGTTTTGTTAGTCGAACAAGTATTATTTGAATAATAATTACTTATGGTTAGAACTAGAGTTGCACACCATGATTTCATTTGATTTCTAGAGTTTTGACCAGTAGTGATTTGATTTTCTATGTGATTAAGATACACCAGCGTGCCCATTACTTCCCTGTGTATTTTGACAACGCGTGGTTCAAATGCCATAAATCTGTCTAAGAGTACTTGAATTTTCACTGTGTTCGCTTTCATAGAGCAGCCTTCAAAGTCTATGGTTGTGTCTTTGGGGATATTAGCGATGCTCTGCCGACTACCTATGAATATACATTGAATTTAATGTGGATTTAGTTTAAGGTCATTAGTGTTTAAATGAATGTATGTTGAGTGTTTCTTATTAATGTATTGAAGTTGTTTACCGTGTCACTATGAAGAAATTGTGAATTATCGGCGTAGTGCATTAAAAGGCATCTATGGGCTATGGCTGATACATAATTGATGAAAATTGGAAACAGGATTGGAACTAAAATAGATATTTGCGGATGATATAATTCCATCGATTCTTACCGATGGGGTCATTGTACCTAAATAACTACTGAACCAAAAGGTATTAATTTTATGATTTACTAGTTTGTTAAAGGAGAATTTATGGATGGTCTGTCATAACGAAAGGTCGCACAATGTGAGCAAACTTACCTTATTTGTCTGTCTTTTTTATAAATTTCTCCATAATGTGTAATAAAAGGCGATAGTCATTTACATCTTGAATGAGAGAGAGAGAGAGAGAGAGAGAGAGAGAGAGAGAGAGAGGAGAGGGAGAGAGAGGAGGAGAGAGAGAGAGGAGAGAGAGAGAGAGAGAGAGAGAGAGAGAGAGAGAGAGGGTATATATATATATAGATAGATATATATAGAAATATAGTAGATAATATATAGATACATGGACAGATAGATAGATGGAAAGGACAACTGTTCATATTATTTATGCAAATCACTTCATCCTATCTTTATTATCAGCACTCATAGAAATGATGATCAGGGTCTAATAAAAAAGGAAATTTTATATAATTCCGAATATGATATATATATATATATATATATATATATATATATATATATATATATATATATATATTTTTTCCTTAGTCTCCTTCCAAAAGAT